GGGGAAGGCCCCTCGGCCCTGGCGGATCCTCCCCCTGCACTCCTGGACCTCCCCGGCCCGGCCAGCCAGGGTGGGCACGCCGTCACAGCGCTCCCTTCTCTCCCCTGCTCAGAACTACATCACGGCAGAGGAGCTGCGGCGAGAGCTTCCTCCAGACCAGGCGGAATACTGCATTGCCCGCATGGCACCTTACCAGGGTCCCGATGCCATCCCCGGGGCCCTTGACTACAAGTCCTTCTCCACGGCGCTGTACGGCGAGAGCGATCTGTGAGGGCGTTTGCAACGGCAGCAAGCGCTGGCAGAGAGGGGGACGGCCGTTCTGTTTCCTTCCACACCATATTTTCATTTTCTCTCTCTGTCTCTTCCTCGCACCTGCACACACACACCCCCACACCCAAAACCGGTGGGGCTCATGTCCTCCATACTATTTCTTTTTCTGAGGACAAGAAGCTGCCTCCTCCAGGCTGGGCAACCCTGGGAGCTGGCCTGTGTAATTTCTTTTCCTTTCCTTTTTTTTAATTGTGTCTTCTACGAACACTGTTAACCTATGCAACAGCCACGGTTCTTCCCTCCGGCAAGACCCCGAGCAGCTGAGAGGGGCTCAGCGGTCCCCTTTAGCCTTGCGTTGCTTTGCCGGGCAGGGAGGATAACGGGTCAGAGAGGGCCGAGCCCAGCCGACAGGCACCCAGACACGGCCCGGGGGGGCTCTTTCGTTCAATTCGATCCCTTCTTCGTGTGTGGGTATTTTTTCTTTCTTACATGTTCCAGAGGGAGGGGAAGCATTCTTAAACGTCTCTGTCCTCCCCCCAGCTTCGTCTCTCTTTTTTGTTTTTAATTTATGTAGCTGGTAGGCAGGAACTCCGCGTAGAAGGTGGCGATGCGTTGAGAGTAGGGAGATCCAGCGGGCGCCGTGATCCACTTTCCCTGGGTGTGTGTTTTTTAATGCAGAACTGGATCCTTGTTCCTTCCCCCGGGTCAGGCACTTTCTTTCTCGCCCTTGGGCGCAAACACCTTCCTTTGCCCCCTTAAAACCCGCTGCCCACTTTCATTTCAGCAAGGCAAACGTGGGTTGCTCCACCCCTTGGCTTGCCCTGTTCAGCACAGCAGGGAGGTTCTGTTGTTGGACCGGGGAGGGGGGGCTCCCTCGGCCCCACCGGCCCACGACGGCTCCTGCCCCTAGCCCCCCCGGTTGGAATGCGTCCCTGGGGGGGGTGCTTCTCACTTTAGGGCCCAACATTCTGCCTTGGAAGAGGTGGGCGCTCTTGGTTCTGTCTCAAATGATTTGGGAGGGGGGCAGTTCCGGAGAGAAGACGGTTGCAGGCTGAGAATGCAAACGCTTCTCCCCGTCCAGCCCCCCGAAATCTCTCCCTAATGCCTTTTTGACTCTTCTTCAATCGGAGAGCAGAACGAGCCAGAATTTGCTTGCAAGCTGGTTTCCCATTTTTGCACACACACTTCCCCCCCCTCCCCGCCAGTGTTGTGGGGCAGTGGCAGAGATAAGGGCAGAGGGAATATTGATCCATGGAGCGTCCATAGTTGCGGGGGGGGGGCTCTTAAATGGTGTATTAAAAGGGGAAGCTGGTTGTCAGCCTGGTGGGACCGCGAAGGAAGTCCACAGGATGTCAGGTTTGTGAAACAGGACAGGAAGAAGCCAGGAAGTAGCGAGCCTTTCATCAGAGGGCCTCTGGAGCCGCTCAGCTGTTCTTTCTTTCTGGCTGGAGGGCAGCGCCAAACTGAGTCTTCCTTCTCATTTTCTCTTTGCTCTGAATAACTCTTTCGATTCACACTCGTAGGTCTATTTGTAATTTCTTCATCATGGTGCAGGGTTTTCTGAGGACCAAATTTAAATGCAAGAGAACCATGCAGAGTTCATTTAAAAAAAAACCACCACCACAGAGAAAAACACAGCAAACGGTTGCAATTTAACAACATCCAGGTGATTATTATTATTAAATATAAATATATATATTCCTCTAGCATTGTATATTGTCAATTGATCCCCATCAATTGGGGTGTTTCTGTCTCTTCTCCCCCCCCCCGCCATTTTCATCATCTAGTTAAGAGTTATGGCTGGCTGTAGCACCAGGAACTTAACATTCCCACACTGTTTTGGGGGGTAGGAGGTCATCCTTTCTGTTTCGTTTCTCTTTTTTGCCATCAGAGAAAGTTTAATTACTTATTTTATTGCGGTTGCTACAAAATCTGCCTGCCAAGGGTAGATCTCTTACGTAATAAGGAGTAACCAGGTTCTGTCTGCCTCTGCTGGTCATCAAATCTGTTCTAAAACTTCCAAACTTTCTGGGGAATCAGCTCTCCTTGCTCTTGGGAAACCAGACAATAAAATATAATATTTTTAAGGGTGATTTCTATTGTCGTTCTTCCCCACCGCTGCCTCCATTCTTTGCCCGACACCCCCAGATCTGTCATTGCTCACCGGTAGTTGCCTTTTCTCATCTTTGGAAGCTCATTGTAGTCCATCTGTGCCCAGACAGTCTACCTCCCACATTGTGGTTGGGGAATGCTGACCTTGGCATCCATTTTCTAAAGACGTTCCCCAACCTGGTTAACCAAGCTCCTTAGATCTGAAGCTTAGGAAATCAACTGAACACAATTATATTGCTGGAAGGGCCCATGGCGGACAGGATCCGTAGTGAAGAGAAGCCCACCACCTCCATCAGCAATAGACACTACTATTGGATCCTTCTGAACATTGTTGTCCCTAACCCTCAACCCTGACCTGATTATCCCATATTGTATGTATGGGCTACCATCTTGAATACATGAAGCATGACCAACTTGGTTGCGTGTTCTACCAATGTTAAGCCCATCCCCTTGGAAGAGCCATCTCATATGGCCATCTCATATGTTTGCCCACTTGGCCTTCCCGTGCAGGAGGAGAGAATCATGGTCACACCCAGCTCCAGAAGCCCTTTGCCTCATGTCAGAGGTGGCTTTCCTTGACTGCATCACCCAGCCAGCCATGCGAAAGGCTGGAATCAGAGAGATGTGCCATTGGTCGTTCTCTGCTAGGTTTGAGGCTGCAAAATTAGATTATTGTTTCTTACAGTGATAGACCAGTGTAAGGGGATAGGGTAGCGCAGTGTTTCTCAACCTTGGCAGCTTGAAGATGTGTGGACCAACTCCCAGAATCCCCCTATCCTGACTGGGGAATTCTGGGGGTTGAAGTCCACACATCTTCATGCTGCCAAGGTTGAGAAACACTGGGGTGAAGTCATTAAGATGCATAAAAATATAATAGGCTGAACGATGCATGTAAGAGCCCTATAAAGTGCGTAAAATAAAAAAGCTACATATATACGAGAGATGCAAAAAGTGTGAAAGTTATGAGAATCTAAAAAGAGATGATGGCATTAGAGGGCCATTATAGACTGAGAGTGTGCAAGTGGGGTGGGATGGCATTCATCCCAGATGAGTGGTAAGATGAACAGCCACGTAGGGTGAGTTGGGTGATTCTGTCGTCCTTCCTGAACATCAATTCTTCGTTTGGGAGAACTTCATGCAATTTACACTGTGCTGAGGGTTGGTTGGTTTGGTGTGTGTTTTAATCCTTGTAAATAATTGGAGGAGGAAGCTGCTGTTCGTGTGCTAGAAAAGACTTGAGACTCCATTTGAAAAACCACAAGAATTGTCTGTTGATTTATGGACAGGGTTGGGAAATCTTTCTGGAAATCTCCCCAATCAAGTACCTGTGCATGACTCTTTCCTCTGCTAAATCACGTGTTTTCATCATAACGTGGCCCATAAACCAGTCTGACCGGAAAGGGTTTGGGGGACCAATCCAGTTTGGACTTAGGTGGCTGAATCAAAAATAACCAGCGCCGTTTTATTGCTGGCATAAACCAGGATATTTTCAAAGCAAGTGTATATATTCTATAAGCAAGCGTGTATATTATGTATATACATCAACACCTGGAAGATTTCCATCTCTGCTGAAGAACATTGGCAATAGGATTATTTCCTGCGCTTTTCTAGCAGTATTTCTCTGAGATAAGATTGATATAGTAAAAGCTTACGGGGGAAAACCCATTTACCGGCGTTTCTCAGTCAAGTGTGGTCTCCCTGGTTCATCTTTGACTTGGAACTTCTTCAAGAGTTCGAAGGCAATGGGGCAACATGGAGAATTTAATCGGCTTTGGCCCTAATCCTAAACCAATGTAGGATCTGCCGTTGCTGCTGTTGCCACTAGTTCTGGCAACGGGATCCCCAAATCTGAAAGGTGCCAAGCCGGAGAGAAGTCTCCTAAAGTAAAAATGGTGGTGGTGTTCACACATGTAAGAGCAGTATTGTTTTCACAGCAGGTGTGACCAATTTGGTAGGGGACTGAAATTTAATCTGAAGGCTCTGAGTGGATGGGGAAGAACAAGTTCAGGGGGTGGCAGATGGAAGCTGGTCCCAAGTTTTATGTGCGCCGCAGCTACCATCTTGACTTTTTTGACCACACCCTGCAGACACTCCTGAACAAGTCCTGAGGGTTGGAGTAGATTCAGAAGATCCAAACAACATCTATTTAAGCAGTACCAAATAAAACCAGAGACAATAACTCTTCATTTCTTTTAATTTGCCAGATATTAGACACACCCAAAATACACTGTCTAAAAGATTTAGGATGCCACGATTCCACCTCAGAATGACAGCAGGATAGCCCTGGATGTTGGCTGCAAAATAAGCTACATAAAATGGTGTGGATGCATGATTTGATTTGCAGGGCTCTTCCTCTTGCCAGCCTTCACCAAATCAAGGGTTCCTGGTTTCCCTGTTCCTCTCCCAGCTGAAGGCCACCTTCTCCAGCTTGATGTCCCCGTCCATTTCCAGGAAACGGATGGCCTTGGGAGAAAGGCGGTGGTCGAACTCGGAAAGCAAAATGTCGTTCTCCATTATCTGCCAAAAAAAAGGGGGGCAGCAAAGCAGATAAATCTCCAGTTGTATCAGGAGTATGATTCCCCTGAGTTCAGTGCTGGTGAAGAGAGGGCTAGCTGGTTGCATAACCTCTTCTTGACTTCAGAGTTAAGGAGGGTCAGGCCTGGTTAATATTTGGGTGGGAGACCAGGATGTTGCAGGGCTGTAAGGTAAAGTGGGAATTCTTGCCAAGAAAACTGCTTGTAAGATAGCGCCATAATTCTAATTCACAAATTTTCCTTGACGTCTGGAATTAGAAGGTAGATGCTTCCACCCGTGGAGTTTTCATGCAGCTTCCTTGTTGGCCACCAAGGAAGCCCTTCACACATGCTCATAATCCCCTTTCCAAGCCATGTAAGCTAGAGATCAGAGCTCTGTAAGTTACATTTCACATAACTTTGCATGAAGAAGTCGTCCTGGTCTTCACCCATCTTAAAGATTAGAACTGGTGCTGGTCAGGGAAGTGGTGGAAATTTGTAATCTGGCCCAGCTGTGGGGTACACAGCTGTCTGCTAGCCGGGGTGAGCTGGAAATTAGGTGAGAATTATGACACCTGTAACCTGGTGCCCTCCAGATGTGTTCACATTTCCCAGCCAGGATGGCCCAAAAACATCTGGACGGCACCAGATTGGGGCAGGCTCTTTTACTGAATCCCAATTTTACTTTACTTTGTTATGCTCACCCCCAAATGTCTATGCTAAAATCCCAAAGGATTTTGATTTCCACCGGGATAGATGGACCTTCCATCTGTACTTAAGGCAGTTTCTTGGGCAACTCTGTATTTAGAGGAATGGGAGGCCACCCCCCCAACCCCAAGAAGGACAACCAGTTTGTTCTACCACCTTGTAACCTTTGCTGGTGATGATGAAATGGAGCTTGAACCTTTGGCTTTGCTGGAAGTGAGTCACCATCCGGATCTCTTTCCCCCACTGTCGATTTGCAAAGCTGTTGAGGCTCAAGATGGCTCTGGTGGAGGAAGCTGGGGTCTTCTCGAAGCGGAGTTCGAACTTCAGAGGGATGTTGGCCCCAAGGAACTGGCCATAAGCGAAGTCCACATGAAATCTGGAGAGGAAGATCAGAGTCTACTTGATTTTCTGCCTTGTTTCCTTTGCCCTTCCTTGACCTTTTTCCAGGAGAACCAGCTGGCTTCCATAACTTCCTCCCATGGATGTTCTCCTCACAGACCATGGGTGGTGGTGGGGGGCACATCATCTACGACATTCCTGTTTAGGTCCACCACCCAACACAACATGCCATGCTAGTCATCTGAGTCCCTATAGCCATCAGGTGAATGAGTCAGACTTGCCAAACAAGCCAACAGTTCTTCACCATAACTGTCCAACCAGAGCTGGGGTCAATCCGTCACTACCTGCTCCCCCCGCTTCAATCCCTATTTCAGGGCCTTTGAAAATATGGTAGGAAATGACAGAGTTAGGGTGCCAAATGCAGAGAAAAAAGTACATTATAAGCCTACAGATGTATTAGTTGGATCAGCCCCCAACATGGAGCCAACCATAAATATCAGGGCAAAAATTTAAATCCCACACCCCAGGGCATCTTGCTAAACCCTTGCTAAGCTCAGCTGCTGCAAAAATGTTTTTAGAAGGGGTTTTCCCTAAAAGAATGGGGGTATTTGATATGGAAATAGTGGCTCTAAGAGTGGAGAAGACACTCTGTACATGATGAGGAATACCTTTCTCACCTCAAGCTCCCAGGATTCTAGCACAGTGTTTCTCAAACTTGGCCACTTTAAGATGTGTGGACTTCAACTCCCAGAATTCCCCAGCCAGCCATGCTGG